GAGTGTTTTAACCACTGCTGCACCAGGGCTCCTTTAAATTAGAATAGCTTTCTTTAAGTATGTTTTACACATTTTCTAATACTTGGCATACTCTGCAGTGTTAAAAAGAGAGAATGGAAACAAAATAAACCTCTATTGTAGAGATATACATGTACAAGGATGTTCTTTGTAGCATTGTTTGTAATAGATGTAATACATAGCAACTTAAATGTCCATCAGTAGAAGACTGGAGAAGTTATGATATACTCATAAAATGTAATCATATATACCATTTAAAATAAACAAATTTACTCTACATGAAACAACAGTGATACATTTCTAAACAATGTTAAGTACAAAGGAAACTAGAATATGTACAATATAAGTGCTTTTAGGTAAAGTTTTAAAACAGACCAAAGCTATATACTATTTTGGATACACTGTTGTTGTTAGCTGCCATCCAGTCGGCTCTGACTCATGGCAACCTTGTGCACAATGAGACTGGGCTATTGTGATCCGTAGGGTTTACACTGGCTGTTTCTTCAGAAGTAGATCACCAGACCTTTCTTCCTACTATGTCAGCTCCACTGAAACGTGTTCAGCATCATAGCAACACACAAGCCTTCACTGACAGACAGTGGCGGCTGCACTTGAGGTGCATTGGTCAGGAATTAAAACCAGGTCTCCCACGTGGAAAACAAGAAATCTACCACTGAACCACCACTGCCCTCTTTGTGTAAATACATATGTAGAAAATGTGTACCAAAAACAGGAACATGAGGGATACACGACAAGGTCAGGATGGTGATTTGAGGAAGGAGGGAAGGAAATGAAATATGGCAGGTGCAGAAAGAGGACTTTCGTTTCATCTGTAACATTTGATTTCTCACACACACACAAAGATCTGAGGCAAGCATGGCAAAATGTTAGCATTTATTAGATAAGGGTGGAGGATACATTATTACCTCCTTACATTGTTCTCTAATCTTTTTATTTATAATTGAACAATTTCAACATACTGATAATAAAAAATAATAAAATGCATTTAAATGCCAAACCACAATTCTAGTTTCCACCCTTGAACTTTATTATTTCTCCTAGCTGATTTTAAAAAACATATTTCAAAGTGTTGACATATCACCAATTGTACTGGTGTTTCTTACGCATGGCCCTATTTCATGAAGTCTGGAGAGTGCTTTGGCACAACGGCTCTAAGGAATGCATTTTCATTATTCTAGAAAGAATTTTAATGGCCTGTTGTACATCAGTGTTAATAGGAATCATGTAGGTAAATCCCTAAGCAGTCCTTTTAAGGGTTGCATTTTTTGTTCAGCCAAGAATAAAAAACACTCTCATGCCTTCCTGGATAATTCTACTAAACAGGCATGTTGTATGTTTTCAGGTATGTTGAATGAAACAGTATGAAAGTACTTATTTAGGGTGTTTTGCTTTGCAAACTTATTCAGCAGAACAGAAAGGCAACTAATCATTCCTTCAAATCCATGTAATGAATATTTTATTGACTGGTGGAACAAACAGTACCATGAACCCAGAATTTCAGTGCTACATATTAGGCTGTGACTGATACGCACTGAGTTTGGCAAATCCATTTCTCTGTTCATTGTGTAAATTAACTGGGACAATGACCTCGTTATATTTGTAACTTTGGAATTGCAGCTTTGAGGTTAAATATGCCATTGACCTTTTTATGTCCTATGCACAGTGCATTATATGTAAAATGTTCACCAATTAAATTTTGTCAGATGTTGCTACACTCTAACCAGAAAACAATTTTCATCGTCTGAAGCATGAATGTTTATAGTAGATATATTTTAAGTACCTCAATTTCAATGCTATTTAACATCGCTGAGATTCTCAGATAATTAACCATGAAACTTATTCATACATTTATATTATTTATCAGCTGCCTACCATGAGCTTTTGAGTCCTAGAGAGAAAACGATGATCAAGACAACATCATTCTCTTCAAATTTTTAAATATCCTGTGAGTGTAGATTCAAGAAAACAGGCAATCACAATACAGTGAGATAAATACTATATGTGGGTTTAGCAAAGTTAAGAGAGCACATAGCAGGGAAACCCAACCCAGTCTAGAGTGGCTAAAGGATCAAGGAAAGCTTCCAGGTGGAAGTGTTTATGCTGATCCTTCCTTTGAAGACTGGAGGAAGAATAGTCAAGCAGAGGAAACAGTGCATGGAAAATCCCAAAGACAAGAGAGAGCATACTTTGGCCAAACATTCAGGTAGTTTCTTTGGCATGAAAAGTCTTCAATACTCTGTGGTGGTATCTCTTGGAATTCCCAGCCCAAGTCATCCTGAGGCTGGCCATGAGAAAGCAACCGTCTGAAAGTCCTAGATTCAATTCTCAGCCCAGTGCCCAGGCCCCACACAAAACCAAGTAAATTGGAATTTCTGGGGGCAGACCCAGAAATTTTTGGAATTGGAATTTTTTTAAAAGCTCTCCAGGTAATGTGAGTATGCAGTCAGGTTCAGAATCACTGATCTACCAGAGAAATTGAGACAGGTGTGCTGATTTAGCAACCATGTAGGTAAGTAAGAGAGTAAGAAATACTGTGCAAGGGCATTTCTGAAATGAACTGGCTGTGAAAACATGGCCTTGGAGTCACAGTCACTAGCCATGAATCTAAGTGCAAAACCATGAGAAGTATGACTCAGATACTAGAACTGGCTCTTAACATATTCAGATAAACAGCTCTTCATAATTTTTTAGTTCATTAATTCATTCATTCTGAAACACTAAGCCAGCCCTTACTATTTGTCAGTATGCTAGGTGCTGTGGATGAATATATGAGTAAGACATTAACCCTACCATCCCAAAACTCCTCATCCAGTTAGGTGCCATTGAGTCAATTTTGACTCATAATGACTCCATGTGACAGAGGAGGACTATCCCATCGGGTTTTCTAGTCTATAATCTGTATGCGAGCAGATCACCAGGATGATTTCCAAAGCCATTGGGTGGGTTCAAACTGCCAAACTTTTGGTTAGCAGCAAAGTGAGTGCTTAACCATTGCACCACCAGGGCTCCTTTCCCCATCCAGTGAAGAGGCAAATTTCTAAGTATCACAATCATGTAAAAGGACTATACAGAGTTGAGTACACGTTGCCCAGTTGGGGAGGGGGGCAGGCAGAAGATCTAAATTTGAAAAATGAATAGGGAGTACAGTTCATGGGGACAGAAAGAAAGACTGTTGGTGTGCCTAAAGTATAGGCTGGGAAAAGTGTAACGTCAAAAACAAGGCTAGAAGATTTGAGTTGACTACAGAAGGTCAAGAGACGCTTTCCTATTGCTGCCAACTAGTTACAAGTCTCTGTAGAATTGTAAACCCCACCTCATGTGAAGTCCATTGGAATCAGGTCAAAGGGTAAAATCGGGAGTTCAAAGTTCTGAGATGGATCAGAGATAGGTGAGGACTTGGGATGCTCTCGAGGATTTTGAGGATCAACTAAAGCCCTGCTATAGAACTGAAGATGTGTGTCGCTGGATAGGCATCCTGTAAAATAGCTTCCAATGATTTCCACTTCCTGTATTCATACCCTTATAAATTTCTCTCACCTTGAGTGTATACTGGGCTTATTGACTGTCTTCTAAAAGAGTACAGTAGAAGTGATGGGATGTCACTTCAGAGACTAGGTTATATTTTTTAAAAAACTACAACTTCCATCTTGGGTGCTTGCTTTCTCACTCTTTCTCTTGGCTTACCCTGGGGGAAGCCAGCTGCGATGTTGTGAGGCAGCCCTGTGAAGAAACCGTTGTGGTGAGGGACAGAGGCCTGCCAACAACCAGGTGAGTGATTTTGGAAGGCTTCTCAGTTATGCCTTCAGATGAGATTGCATCCCTGGCTGACAGCTTGACTGTGACTTGAGTCAGAAACACTCAACTCAGCTATGCCCAGATTCTTGACGTACAAAAACTATGAAATAATAAATATTTATTGTTTTAAGCTGCTATGTTTTGTAATATTGTTATGCAGCAATAAATAATACAGTACCATTTACTCAGGATTTCTGCGTATCCTTCATATCCTCTATTAAGACCTCACAGATTGAGGTAGCTCCTAATAACGTTATTATTAGTAATCATCCGTGCCCTACCTTGAGAAGTAAGATTTATTTCAGGCCAGAAATATATACGAAAATAAGGATGAACAACTAAGGGATTCAAAGTCTGTTCTGATGCTGGGAGGCAAAATGATGACGATTACAGTTGTTGGCAGTATTAGGACCGTGGTCCTATGTCACTCTTTTCCATCTGAGTTACCCCCAACTTCCTTTCTCTCCCCAACACTCACATACCACCAGAGTGCATGCAGTGTCTAAAGCTGAGTGAACATTCATGATGGCCTCTCGGGTCTGCTGCCAGTCACAAGACTTTTTTCCATTTGGGTACCCACTTTTCATTTCTAGCTATTCTACTACCATCCTGAAGTTTAGGACGATTTGGACTGCCTGAGTTTATGCAGCCTTGCTGGCACACCTTCACTTTCATTTTTACATAATGTAGTTAAATTTTTCTCTGTTCATGAGAAAATGTTCAGCATGGGGAAGTAATACTCTCCTCAGTCTTATTCTGGCATAGAAGGCTATTAGCTAAGTAAAAACAAGTTAATTTTTGTCACTTTGATTCATTTGTTCAGTTAAACATTTGCTAAGTTTATGGAGTCCCTGGGTGGTGCAAACCGTTAACACACTGGGCTGTTAACTGAAAGGTTGGCAGTTTGAGACTACCCAGAAGCACCTCGGAAGAAAGGCCTGATGATCTACTTTTGAAAAATTAGCCATTGAAACCCCTGTAGAGCACAGTTCTCCTCTGACACACATGGGATCACCCTGAATTGGAATCTACTTGACAGCAACTGCTTTTTTTTTAAGGTTAAGGTCAGAAAAATGTAATGCTGCAATATTTTAGAATCTTTCTAATTATACAGCTTATTATGTGTCAAGAATTTAACCCATTTCGTCTTCACTTCATTAACACAGGAGAAGAAAACCTCCTGGCAATTTTACGACGACGATGGTGGAAGTACATGATCCTGGGACTCATAGACCTGGAAGCAAATTACCTGGTGGTCAAAGCTTACCAGTACACCACCCTGACCAGCATCCAGGTACTAGTGTTTCTTCTTTCATTCTCGTCTTTCTCACTTCCAGATGTAGTTTACTTTCAATTTAAACTCCTGGGGAATCTGAATACCACTCTTTAACATTATTTCTATCTTAATAATTTTTCTTAATCAAGTATAATTAGATATCTTTTTCTCTTTGTTATGAATACACCACAATAACCATTTGAGAATGTAGGAAAATAATTTGTGACTTTGAATGCCGCCAACTAAGCCTATGTCCACAAGAGAATTATTAATAAGCATAAAAAATAAATCAATTTTAATCACAACTGATAACTTTTTAGAATATGTTAATGGGCCTTGATTAAGTAATCAAAGTGCTTAATAATCTTTTCTTTTAACTTTCTTTAATATGTTGCATTTACAACCTGGAGAAACAGTATTTTTCCTAAAGGGACAAGGATAAAATTCCTACAATGTGTTTTGCATGAAGATAGCCATTGTGTTGTGTTGTCTCTCTCTCTCTTTCTCCCCCGCCCCCATGCACATGTGCAGGCACACGAGACACACACACATGCATACACAATTGCCGAGTTTAACTTAGTTTTTCACAATTTTTGCCAGACATTTAGATTCCTCATTACACCATAAATAATAGGCTTGACTATTTTTGTTTCAGCCTCATTTCTTTTTTTTTTTAATAACAACATTATGAATTTCATAGCCATTCCAAAGCTCCAGGATGAAAACAAAATAAAACATTGTTCATGTATTAGATTTAGCTTAGATTTGATACTTCAACAACTTTCATGCCATCCTACCAATTTGCTTAGAAACAACAATAACAAAAATGAAGAAACAAAGAAGCAAACAAAGCATCTGAATAAATTTAGACATACAGACTGGATGGGAAGCAATCTAAACCTGATTTAGATTTCCTACCACCTGATTTCCAAAATGAACTTCAAAGTCATCTTGAAATAAAAGTGATTAGAGTAAGCATTTTGGCAGGACCATTTCCATGCACATTTTGTATTTTGAGAGCATTCATGGGGTCGGATTCCTGGTGATGATGCCCATTGGACCAGGAAGAGAACCTGCACGCTTGAGTTAATCGTTAAAATTTTGTGACTTTTGGACTTGTGATACAAGGCAATAGCTGGACTCACAATGAGAACCCAGATGTAATGCAGTCTGCTTTGGCACTTCTCTTTGTTTGTTTGGGATCCTTTTACTCCCTTCTTAGAACCTTCTTTTCTCCAACTTTAAAAGCACTACTCTTCCTGATGCATTTGGATTGTGATGTTGGCAAAAAAGAATGAATAAATCAGTCTTAGAAGAAATACAACCAAAATCCTTCTTAGAACCAAGAATGGCACAACTTCAGCTCACTTACATCATCAGGAAAGACCAGTCGCTTGAAAAGGACATAATGTTTGGTAGAGGGTTAGCTAAAATGAGAGAAAGCCTCAATGAGATGGGGTGACACAATAGCCAAAACAGTGGACTCAGACATAGCAACAGTCATGAAGATGGCACAGGACCGGGCATGAGTTGGAGCCAACTCGACAGCAACTAACAACTCTGCCTGAAATTGCATTCTTACTTCCTTTTTTTTTTTTAAATGTTTTCCACTATGGAAAAGAGACTCCTAAAATGCCGCCATGCATAATATATAACATTTCTTTTGCTTTAAAATAAAAGCATTCAAACATGCTCATACCTCTGTTCTCTATATATCATTAGTATGCTTAATAAGATTTTAAGCATCTTGAAAGCATGTACTATGACTTTTTAGATTTGGTCTATAAACCTTACTCTACATCATTGTGTGTAAATATATATTTAAATATAAATATGGTTAGTTCATCACCACAGGACTCGACTAGTTAAATTTCTTCACTTCATTAAGACCTTACTGAATTCCAAGGCAGTTGCAAATTCCAAAGTGAGAAAAATTAAGCATGTATCTCTTCATCAGCAACAACAGAGTTATGGTGTCTCCATATTCCCTCTCCATATAATGAAGCTTAAAAGTGGGGAAAAAAGCTTTTAAATATGTCAGAATTGTACTGGAACCCTGATGGCACAGTAGTTAAGTGCTGGGCTGCTAACCAAAATGTTGGCTGGTCCTTGGAAACCCTATAGGGCAGTTCTACTCTGTCCTATAGGGTCACTATGAGTCATAATCAACTCGATGACAATGGTTTGGGTTTTTTTTGGTTTATACTTATAATAACAATTGAGTATACTGTATATAAATGAGTGTTGCACAAAATGGGTGAATTTGTCATTAATTTTTAAAACTTCTCGCTCGTATGTTGTCTGTGACAAATGCTTGTATATTGAAAAAAAATCATGGAAACAAAAATCATTGGCATTATTCTCTTTGTGTATATGAACATCAATTATTCAGTCCAATTAATGATCTGAAGTTGCCACTAAAAAACATTCTTCTGGTTTCTCTTCCCAACTCCCCTTTTTCTTTCTCTCCTCTTCTTCATCCATTAGAAACAGGCCATAAGAGTAGGCTGTTTCCCATGACAGCTGCCCAGTAAACACCGTGTGTTTTTCCCCACACACATTTACTACCTTTTCTTAGTCTTAATTCCTTTGCTGAAGCTGCTTCTACTACTCGCAATATCACTCTCTCCTCCATCTCCTACTCATTAAATTCTATTTATTTCGGGGCTCCCTGTTACCACTGAGGATGTTTTCACATTACAAATAGTAGAAAGCCCAACTTAAACTGTCTTTAACAGTAAGAAAATTTATTGATTCTCATAATTGAAATATCTAGAGAAAGGGCAGGCTTCAGGACAGTTGATCAAATGGTACAGTGATGTCAGCAGGGGCTCAGTTTCTTTTCATCTTTCCACTCTTCTGTCCCCTCTGCTAGCTTTATCCTAAGTCTAGCTGTTCTCATGGTAATAAGCTGCCAGTACAAATTGGGGCCTAATGCTTCTACCTTCATGCCCAGTGGAAGACTGAGAGGCTGCTTCCCCACAACCATTGAACAAAAGCCCAGAACTCTGTTTTGATAGGCTCACACTGATGACTGGGGAAATGCTGTGAGCTAATTGCCTTAGACCTCGACTCTGAACCAATACAGGATGGGATTTCTCTGATTGGCTTAGGCAAGCATTTTTTAAAAGGAGTCCTACTGGCCTTTTTCATTGTGTGAGTCTGTTCCCTACTTTGCAGATCATTTAACATTCCTCGCCTCTGCCCTCTAAATGGCAGTAGCATTTCCCAGCCTTTGTAACAACCAAAAATGTCCCCGTGAATTTTCAAATGGTCCCTAAGAGGGAGGTACTATTTCTGTTGAGAAGCACTGGCTAAGACCAATCAGCTTCCACTTTTGGAGTCAGGTTGGTATCATATCAATCCCACCCAAACACATGGCTATCACCTATTAAGGGGGGGATGAGGTGGATGGATGCTCAGGGAAGAATGCCATGTCTCTCTACCCAGTTTAGCTCCCACCTCTCTTCAACAAGCCCCACAGTGAGAACGGATCTCTCTGTTCTGTGCTCCCATGCACTGTTGTTTAGCTCTACTTTCACAGTCTGTCTAATATAAGAATGATATTTGTATATTCCCATCTACTCTACCAAACTGTGAGCTCTTTCACAACAAGGATGGTTTGTTCTTCACCTTCGAATCTCTAGTACCTAGCGGAAAAACCAGTACACCCTAGGTACTCAACAAATGTTTAACGAATTTCAGTGAATGGCACTGATTTCCAGTGTTTTGGGAGCACAGAAGCTCCCACCAGTCCCTTGCTGAAATGTAGACATTTCCAGAATGTCTATACAGGAATTGTAGGGAAAGGAAGAGAGGGATGTTGGCTTCATGTCAGAACTAGGTACATCTTCCTCGAGTAAAAAATTATAAATGATCTAAGAGACAACGGAATGAGGAGTGACTTCCCCCTTTGGAAATGCATAATTCTTCCCAGGAAGAGAAGTGTCAGGTTGACTGTTACTTTTTTTGTTAAGCATTAAAAAGCTACAGCCAATTATTGTTTTCTTAAATTCTATGGGGCTTTTTTCCAAAAAAAAATTTTTTTCCAAGTTTTTTTTGTCAGCAGTGGCAATTTATTCTTAAGAGATGATCCCCCGATCCTCAGGTCTTTAGTTTATCCCATGTTATTCATCACAACTAAGCCATCCTGCCACCTCTCAAATTAGCTGTTTGACACCCTACTGAATGTATCATTTTAGAAAAAATTTAATTTACTTTAATTCTGTAGTAAGGCAGAAAAATAATAATTCCCCTGAAATAGCAACTGGCCTTAATTATAATTAACTGAGGAAGGGACAAAAACAAACAAATAATCCCAAACCCGTTGCCGTTGAGTCGATCCCGACTTACAGTGACTCTGTAGGACAGGGTAGAACTGCCCCATAGAGTTTCCCAGGAGACGCGGATGAATTCGAACTGCCAACCTTCTTTAGGTTTGTAGCCGAGCTCTTAACCACTGCATGGCCAGGGCTCCACAGGAGAAGGAAAAAAGTAAGTTGAATCTAACAGAACCGTCTTAACATATATAGTAAATAAACCTATTAAATAGTAATAAATGGTCAGAACAGAAGGCACTTGTTCCGGGAGCCATGACTTGTACTGCCATTTAGTAATTTAATTCTATTTATTGATTGCAATAAAACGTAGCATCAGGATTGGAGGAAGACTCATTAACAACCTGCAATATGCAGATGGCACAATCTTGCTTGCTAAAAGCGAAGAAGACTTGAAGCACTAACTGATGAAGATCAAAGACTACAGCCTTCAGTGTGGTTTACACCTCAACATAAAGAAAATAAAAATCCTCACAACTGGACCAGTCAGCAACATCATGATAAACAGAAAAGACTGAAGTTGTCAAGGAATTCCTTTTACTTGGATCCACAATCAATGCCCATGGAAGCAGCAGTTAGGAAATCAAACGACTTATTGTGCTGGGCAAATCTGCTGCAAAAGACCTCTTTAGAGTGTTAAAAAGCAACAGTGTAACAATGTCACTTTGAGAATTAAGGTGC